GTACTAGGTAAGTAGCTGCCATGCTTTCTTTGAAGGGCTTATATGACACAGCATGGGTCTCACTACAACCCCAGTTTACACCCTCATGACAGATGCTGGGCTAGCTTCACTCCCAGAAACCTGAGAGTCACAAACTATGCAACAAGGTTTACTGTCTCACCCCGCTAAGATCGTGGCTAAATTTAGCCATTTTTGGTATCCGAATTAGGTGCTGCTTTTATAAAACCTCATATGTGGAAGTGGCTTTGGAACTGGGCACGAGGCTTTGTTGAGAGCAGCTGAGAGGCTTGGACAGCTTCAATAGGCTTCCGGTGCTTGCAGGAAAGCAAAGCTGAGGCTGTTAGAAATGCAGGGATGGGATCTTCTGAAGCACGCCAGAATGCTGAGCGGTGCTATCCTCAGCCATGGAGACAGAAGTGGATGTACTGGGTGCCTTAGTGAGGATGTCTCAAATCAGAATGTTAGGGTTTGCCAGTTTCCTCCAGTTGCATCAAGTAGGATGATGATGTGCTGTGGGATGATCCTTCTGTAAACTCTCAATATGTATTATTCCCATTGGTCAATAAAGAAGCTGTTCAGCCAGTAGCCAGGCAGGATAAGGTTGGGCAGAAAAAAAAACAAACTAAGGAGGGAAAGAAGGAGGGCAGAAAGAAAGAGAGACAGAGAGAGGGAGAGAGAAAGAGAGAGAGAGAGAGAGAGAGAGAGAGAGAGAGAGAGAGAGAGAGGCGAGTCAGCTGCCCAAGATGCCAGAGGACCAGTAAAGCCACAGTGCTGTTGTTTTTGCTCTTTTGCGGGCCTCCCACCCAGCTCCGAAATAAGTCACATATAGAGACTTATACTTAATTATAAATGTCTGGCATTAGCTTGGCTTGTTTCTTGCCAGCTTTCCTTAATTTTAATTATCTATCTTTTGCCTCTGGGCTTTCCCCGTTCTCGAGATTCTATAAATCTTACTCTTACTCCGAGGCTTGCTGTGTTGCTGAGTGGCTGGCCCCTGGAGTCCTCTTCCTTCTCTGACTATTTTTTCTCTAGATAATTCTTTTTTCTTCCTCCTCCCAGCTTTCTCCTTCTATATATTCTCCCTGCCTGCCAGCCCCGCAGCCTATTTCTCTATCCTGCCTTGCTAGTGGCCGTTCAGTTCTTTATTAGACCATCAGTTGTTTTAGACAGACACAGTAACACAGCTTCACAGAGTTAAACAAATGCAACATAAACAAAAGTAACACAACTTAAAATATTATACAACATTTCCCCCTTTTTGTCTAAATAAAAAGAAAAGGTTTTAACTTAAACATAGTAAGACTATATAAAATAGCATTTATCAAGTAAGGATTACATTCACAATATTCTGTCCATTTGTAGTTAGCATATTGAGAGAAAATAATGCATTATCTATCCTATCTTAATGAATCCAAAATTTTACACCTAATTTACTTTCTAAGATAACTAAGGAAACCTGCAACTGTAACTATCTAGTCTTCAACTCCATCAAAGACCCAGAAGGATATAATATTATTTAACAACAGACACAGTTGGCTACCTGAACAGTCACCTAAAGTTTCTCTTCAACATTGGGGCATCCATCTTCAACCTACAGGCCCAGAATATCTAGCAGACTTTTCAGTGAAACAGAAAATTTGAAGGACTATCCAACTTTGTATTGGTGAAGTTCATCAGTTACTTTCCTCTGTATCCTGCAGAATATCTGGCAGACTCTTCTGTGAAGCAGAAATTTTGAAGGACTTGTTTTGGTAAAGCTCAATGGTCTTTTTCCTGTGTGTCCCTCATGTCCAGTCTGCACATCACATTGTTAGCAGTCAAAGGCAAGAATAGTTTCTTTGCCTAGTGGCTAACCTTGCCACAATGAAAGCAAACTCCCTAAGGAGTTTCTTCAATGTCCATCATCTTCTCTGAAGTAAACTGGTGCTGCCAGGAACAGGTGCATCTCATTGTCATGAAAACTTTCAGTTAACAAAACATTTTTAAATGCCATATTCTATAGGTCTTTGAAGTATTTGAAGACCATCTATCTAAAACATATCTATTTAACCTAGAAAATATACCTATCTAAAAATTTGGTTGTTATAAATGACTAACTACTGACCTATGTTTCTTGATTGTCCTATATAGTTTATAATAATAGCTTTCAAAAACTAGAACTTTACCTTACTTTTTTAAATGAACTGCATAGGTACAATACCTTAAACAAGAGTAGAAACATTTATATAATACATGGTAACAAAACAACCTTAAATTTGTATCAATATACAAAAACCCTTTAGACAAGAGTAGAAACATATGTACAGTGTAATAAAAGTAACTTTAAATTTATATCAATACACAAAAATCCTTCAAACAAAAGTAGAAATATATATATATATATGTATATATATAGTGTGTGTGTTGTAACAAAAATTACTTTAAATTTATATCAGTATACAAAAGTCCTTACATATACAAAACATTTGAGATCAATAGTTGCTCCTTAGTTTATAGTCAATTCAATAATCTACCTTATTATTTAAAGCAGATTCAACAATCTACTCTTCTCTCCTATTATTCTTTTTTAAAAAATATTTATTTATTATGTATACAGTGTTCTGTCTGCATGTGTCCCTGCAGGCCAGAAGAGGGCACCAGATATCATTACAGGTGGTTGTGAGCTACCATGTGGTTGCTGGGAATTGAACTCAGGACCTTTGGAAGAACACTCTTAACCACTGAGCCATCTCTCCAGCCCCCCAGCCTATCATCCTTATATTCTCCTAAGTGATAACAAACATCCATAACCCACCAAATAACCAAAGACCACCCATACCCCCAACTCTTGGGAATGTGGGCATAGTTTTCTCCATACTGCTTCCAGCTGTCTGTAGACGAAGTATCATTAGGGTCCCAGAGAGAAAATTTGAGATAATAACCAAGTCCTGGGAAGACCAGCTATAATTTTTGTTGACAGATATTACCTGTTAAGGTTCAGGAGGTCTCCCCTGATCAAACCTGATCCATATTAACCCCGAATGAATCCATAACCTCTTATCTCCTGTGAAAACAAAACTCCAAAGCATTTTTGATTTCCATTAATAAATATATTTCTTATTTCTTTTTTAAAGTTAAGGTAGCCCTAAAGTATCTAGGTTGGTTCAATTTTGCAGTCCTGTTCACAAGCCCATGTCTGCCAGCAGCTGTCTCTTGCCCACCAGCCATCAAAAAAATTCAAAATCAATACAATAACATACAGGATCCAGACTCCCTGTGTAATTCCCATCTCTACATGGCTTTTTTAATTATTATTTTACTTCTCTCTTTAAAGACTTTATTTTTAAATTATTCATTTAGAAGTTTTTTCCAACCTGGACCTCTTTTATTGCATATCTTTTAGCCTTTTTGATTGCATGAACACACTTTAAACTGCTAAGTGGCATGGACTTCTGCCCTAGGCTTTGGAAGAATAATATTAAAAATAATATCATAGATGGCAATACTTAGATTAATAGAAATGGGTTAATTTAAATGTAAGAGCTAGGTAGTAATAAGCCTGAGCAATCGGTCAAACATTTATAATTAATATAAGCCTCTGTGTGGTAATTTGGGAAGTGGCTGCCGGGTATTTGGGAACAGGCAGTGGAAAAGAAGGCTCTGTTTACACTGATGGGGACACTTGAGCAGAAAAAGCAGCTGACACTGTATCTGGGGAGACATGGACAAGTGTCTCTTCACCCCAGATAGAGACCCAGTGACAGACCAAAATAAGGATACCATCAAAGTCCAACCTGGTAAGCCAATGAGTTTATTGGGTGAGAGGTTATTTATAGGATCAGAAAGAATTCAAAGGCAGCTGCATCATTAAAGTTCACCCCAGCATGAATAACAGCTCATAAAAGCTGACCTCACCACACCACTTGTAGACAGCTCACTGCACCACTTATAGACAGCTCAACAGGTTGGAAAGTTGCCTCTTCCAGGCAGCTAGTCTGGTCTGGTCGCTTCAGCAGTCCCTCCTGCTTATCTGACCTTGGGGTCTGATGAGCTTTTGATATGGTCAGTTTCAGGGACTTCCTGGGAGTTCTGAGTTGCTTACTTGAATCTGAAGAGCCTTCTTTAGAAGTCATTGGGTTTTAACAGAGGAAACTGATACATAGCAGGAGCTGGTACTGGGTGGCTTTGGAAATGGTCAGCTTTCTCAGAAGCAAACTATATAAGTATGAAATGGATGCAGGGGTCTGCCAGGAAAGCTGTCACCCAGAGTTCTGGAGGCATGGCCAGAAAACATATATTGGTGAGATTTCAGGAGCAGGGGAGATAGGTCAGTAGGTAACGTGCCTGCTCTGCAATCCAAAGACCTGAGTGCAGATCTAAAAAACCCAGATAGAAATCTGGGCATGACAAGAGCCAGCCTGTAACTCCAGCCTTGAGGGAAGGGGAGCAGAGCCAGGATAGCTGAACTGATGAGTTTCTGGTTCTGTGAAAGACCCTTTCTCAAACAAAACAAAACAGAAAAACAAAAAACAACAAAGGTAGAGCACAATCAAGATAAGACACATTGACATTGGGCTCCCACATGCATATGCACATACATACATGCACACCTACACACACATGAGCACACACACACACACACACACACACACACTTCAGAAACAGAGAAGGCATCACCTCAGCCGACCTTATTCAAACAAGGGGTCCTTCACTGAGATTAAGAGCACACCTCACAGACTAAGCAGCCAGTGCCTTTGGTGGGAAATCCTCCACAATGCCCTCAGGGCTGATGCCATGCTCAGCCCGCAACTGTTCCAGAACTGGAACCCAACTAGGGGAGGCGGGTGTGTGTGTGTGTGTGTGTGTGTGTGTGTGTGTGTGTGTGTGTGTGTGTGTGTGTGTGGTGGTACTCCTAACAGTCATTTAATTTTTGTAAAGGTGACTTTCACCTTGATGCTCAGGTGCCCATTTCCCCTCCCCCATCTTGCTTTTCCTCCTCTGTCCGTCCACCCATGGTGAAGAACTGAAGCTGTTAGCAAAGGCCAGCACACAATTAAGGATTATCTCCAATTGGCCACATGGCTGTCCATTTGGGAAAGAGATCCTTGAAGCCCAGTAAATCACCAGATGATGGTATCCCTGGATATCTACTGAAACTTCCTGAGAAACTCTGAGCAAGAGGCACTGAGCCACTAAGCTCAGAGTCCTGACACTTAGAAGGTATGTGAACTATTAAATGTTGGTGAGTAGCATTCATTTGTTTAGAACAAGATCTGTCCCTCGGCAGCCCATGCTGACCTCGAATTTACAATCTTCCTGCCTCACCCTCCTGAGGGCTGACCACATTCATGTATCATCATGCCTGGCAGTATTTGTGTTAAATTATGTGTTTCTGATGCTTTGGCAGCTGGGTCCTTGCCAACCTGGACATAGCCCTCTAGGGCTGGCTGATTCCTAGAGATAATATACCTTTCATTGGCAAACTAACCAATCCTGAATCAGATCTCAATGCTCCTTTATCAGGTGCTACTGGGCTCTCAAACTCAGAACACTGACCATCAGCTCTTCATGCTAGACACCTAGAGAGAGCCCTTATGTATGGTGATATATTGTGTACCCTAATAAACTTGCCTGATCAGAGGACAGAGCCAGTCACTAGATAAGACATAGAGGTCAGGCAGTGGTGGCACACACCTTTAATCCCAACACTCAAGGTCTCATGCCTTTGCGTGGGAAGCACACATGCCTTTAATCTCAGGAAGTAATACAGCAGGGCAGAGAAAGGTATATAAGGCATAAGGAAAAGGAATGCACTCTCTAAAGAGATTTAGTAAAGGTGAGAACTAGTGGCTGGCTGCTCTGCTTCTCTGATCTTTCTTTCAGCTTTCACCCTGAGATCTGGCTCTGGGTTTTTATTAAAAGACCACCTAAGATTTGAACAACAATTATGCCTGGAACTCTCTGACATCACTCAGATTGGCCAGTCTCACCCTGCCTTACCCACTTCTTCCCATGGGAACTACAAAAAAGGCTTTCTTCAAGGGGACATTATATCAGATACCAAGGACATTCAGAAAATCAGTAAGATATACCTTAATAACTTATATTCCACTAAACTGGAAAATTTTTTTAAAAATGCACAATTTTCTAGGTTCACACAACCTACCTAAATCAAACCATATGAGACAAACAACTCAGACAGTTTTATGACAAGCAATGAGATTAGAACAGTAATAAAAATTATCTCAGCTAAAAAAAAAACCCAGACTTTGGAGGGTTGACTGCTCAATTCTACCAGACATTTAAAGAAGTAATACCAAATGTTTCTCAAACTACTCCATAAAATAGAAACAGAAAGAAGACTCCACACAAGGCCAGATTTACCCTAACACCAAAACGAAATACAAAACACACACACACACACACACACACACACACACACACACAGAGAGAGTTAGAGAGAGAGAGAGAGAGAGAGAGAGAGAGAGAGAGAGAGAGAGAGAGAGAGAGTTATAGGCAATCCTCCCTGGTGAACACAGATGCAAACATTCTCAGTAAAATACTTGCAAACTGGTTCCAAGAACACATAAAAAAGATCATTCATCATGTTCAAGGTGACTTCATTCCAGTAATATAGAGATGGCTTAATATATTCAAATCAATAATGTTATACATTCCATGAATAAACTCAAGACAGAAATCAACTATCAGGCTGGGTGGTGGTGGTGCACACCTTTGATCCCAGCACTCGGGAGGCAGAGGCAGGCGGATCTCTGTGAGTTTGAGGCTAGCCTGGTCTACAGTTTGAGTTCCAGGACAGGCTCCAAAGCTACACAGAAACCCTGTCTCAGAAAACCTAATAATAAATAAATAAATCACACTATCATCTCAAAGATGCAAAAAGAACTTTTGACAAAGCCCCAAATCTCTTCACCAAAAGCCCTGAAAAAAAAAAAAACAAGAACAGAAGGACCATACCTCAACCTAATAATGACTAATAATGATGAGCCCACCCTGCAATTATACTAGACAGGAAAAATCAAAGCATTTCCAGACAGGACTAGACAGTGGTGGCCACTTTCTCCACTCATACCCAGTACAGTACTTGAAGTCTTAGCTAGAGCAACAATCCCAGAGGGTAACAAAAGGGAGACACATACAAATGAAAAAGGAAAAGTCTTTATGTGCAGATGACACATAAGAGACCCTAAAGACCCGAGATAGCCTGAGTTCAATCCCCAGGACTTACGTGGTGTTAATAGAGAATGGAACTGACTCTAGAAAGTTGTCCTGTGGTCTTTATATACACATTGTGACAGCTGTGCCCATACATGTGCTTGTGTGCACTTGTACACACACACACACACACACACACACACACACACACACACACACACACAAATAAATGTGATTTAAAAATAAATAAATAAAATCAGCACAACATTCCCATTCACAATCATTTCAAAATAACAACAAAACCGACTTTGAAATAAACCTAAATCAGGAAATGAAAGATTTCTACAGTGGAAAAATGAAAACACTGAAGAAATCAAAGAAACACTAGAAGATGGAAAGACCTCCCATGTTCATGGACATTGTGTGACAAAGCTTTTTTGGGGAGCTGCTACACACACATTCATTCACCTTAGATACAGGGAGCCCATGACAGACCGAAGTATGGATACTACCAAAGTCCAACTTGGTCAACTGATGGATTTTATTGGGGTTACTTACAGGAGCAGAAATGACAAAGCCAGCTGCATCACCAAAGCTCACCCCAGCACAAATGACAGCTCACAAAAGCTGGGAACCTGGAGCATATTACATTAGTTCTGTGGCCTCTTTTAGCTTAAAATAATCCCAGTAGTGATTTTTTGGGGGTTATTTGAGGGGGGCTTGTTTTGTTTTGTTTTGTTTGTTTGTTTGTTTACTGAGACAGGGTTTCTCTATGTACCCCTAGCTGTTCTGGAACTCACTCTGTAGACCAGGCTGACCTCAAACTCACAGAGCATCCACCTGCATCTGCCCCCTGAGTGCTGGGACTAAAGGTGTGTGCCACCACCATCTGGTCCCCTGGTGATTTTTAAAATCTCCCATAAGTGGGGGCTGCTGGAGAGATGGCTCAGTGGCCAAGAGCACTTGGTGCTCTGGCAGAGGACCCAGCTTTGGTTTTTGACACACACATAAGGGGCTCACAACCATCTGTAACTCTAGTTCCAGGGGTTCTGACACTTTCTTCTATCCTCTGTGTATACATACAGACAATCAGGTAAGCACAAATAAGAATAAATTTAAAATTTTTCAATCTATACATAAATATTTTTATTCTTCCAAGCAAAGGACAGCTCCTCCCCTTAAATGTTGGTTATTCTTAGTGGCTGGCAATACGACAGCTTATGCCTTCTAGACTAAGTCAGAAGAGGCATCGTGGCTTTCTCCTTGCTTCTTAGAGAAAGATGAAATAGTGTCTACTGTTGCTTGCAGCAAAGATGCCACTCTGTTAGGGCGAGGTCACTCCCTCACTATAAACTGAAAATTTATTCTAAGTAGAATAGATATTGGGTACACATAAGTTTCTGAACAGCCTAGCTTCGCTGCACAGTACACTATAGAGTAGTGGATTTGTTTTTTGTTTGTTTATTTTGAGACAGATTTTCTCTGTGTAATCCTGGCTGTTCTGGGACTCACTCTGTAGATGAGGCTCACCTCGATCTCAGAGATTCGCCTGCTTCTGCCTCACAAGTACTGAGATTTCTCAAATATTAGTAAGGAACAGCCTTAATAATCTTCTTCCCAGGGGCCCAGTAGAGAATCTATGAATGGCATGAATTATTTTCGGGAAAAGAATCTAAGTACACCGAGCTCTTTATCCGTCTGCTTCATTCCTCTGAGATAAAATTCTGTCTCCACAGCTTCAGTTCTGCTCTCGTGCCCAGCTCCTTTCTTGCCTGATTTCTCTCTACATTTATCTGCTGTCCTCTAAGTTCTACCTTAATTCTCTCATCTTAGTTCCGCCCCATCTAGGTTCTCATCCACCTAGTTCCTTCCTGTCTCAGCTCCTCCCCGATCTCCTTCTTTCTCATCTTGTTCCTCATCTTGTTCTTCCCTATCCCCCTCTTCTTCATCTCCCATCTCATTCCTCTAGCACTCTCTTCTAGCCCTTCAATCTAGTTCTTCCCCATCTCAGTTCCTTCCTCTCCAGTTTTTACTCATCTAGTTCTTTCATTCTCTTTTCTCTTCTCCATCTAGTCCTTCCAAGTCTCTGAGGTTTAGTTATATGCCCATGCAATAGCAATGCTCTGGCTAAGGCAAGTTCACCAGGCTTGAATTCCCTCAGGGTCAAAAGGGGGGGAGGCAATAAGATCCACACAAAAGGGCAGTAATTGCCAGCCATCATTTGCAACCCAAATGGGAAGTGACTAATGGAGAATAGAATCAACTGAGGGCTAAATTTGGTTAATATCTGAGCATGGTATTTTATGTGCTCAACTATATTCTTAGAAGTGGTTAGTTAAAGTGCTAGGAGTCTATCAGTGACGAGTGGAAACAAAACTGCCTTATTTTCCTTTGGCCGCTTATCTGTCCAAGCTATCTTGACTACTTACTGCATTCTGTCAGGGCCGGGGAGTGTACTTGGTGGCTAGGCAGGCTGAGTCAGCTTGATGTACCAGTAAGTAGAAACCCTTTAGTTCTGAGTTAATAGTTAGAGGTAGATGTAAAACTGGAGATAAGAGTTTGGAAAGGAAGAAAGTTAACTTAATTAGCACATCCACCAGGCCTTCTCAAATAGGTAGTCTGGATGCTTAAGACTGTTCTTAGAGAGTACAGCTGTATCTCTGATAAGATACTTTCATCCATCCGGGTATGGTCCTGGCCGGATGCTGCTAATGATGATAATTACAGAAAGGCCTGAAATTAGGGATCCTGGATGCATTACTGCACAGAAAGTTATTTAAATATTCCATTAGTAAAGGAGAGATTGTGCTCAATGAATGAAGGAAAAGCTACAATAGCACACAAGAAATTCACAGCAGGAAATGGCTGATAATCAAAAGCCAAGATCACCAAGATTCCTTGAGCCTCAGCTTGACCTCTGGAAGGCCCTTGGTTTCTTCCAGAATATCTTTGTCATAATGAGCTGAAATCCAACTTCATATATTTCCTGTGGCCTACAGCAGAGATTAAAGACATGCAGCATTACCTACCCCCACCCCACTCTGCTCCACCCCCGGCTAGAGGGATGATTTCTGCCCCCTCATGATGTCTAGGCTACCTACAAGCTGCTGCTACTTGCTGCCCCTGGCCAGCATCACAGAGTACCAGTACCGTATCTACCAGTAAGCTGGCTCTGGTTTAAGGTAAGAGGAAATGAGTTACTTTGCTAGAGTGTGGCTGGAATAGCCACACATGAATTCAGGTGCTTTGCCATGGCCATACTCTACGATATGATTAGCTCTATGGTTAGAGAGGACAGTGAAACAGGTACAGAGGTAAGGAGGGAGGGTGTGGCAGCACACGCTTTAATTCCACAGCAAGGCACATAGACGTGGGTAGACAGGAAGTAACTCACATTTGGAAGCTGCAGAGTTGGTGAGGTGAGGTTGGCTGGTGGCTTTCCCTATTTCCCTGATCTCTCTAAGGCTTTCACCCCTATATTTGGCTCTGTGTTCTTTATTTATTAAGAACATTTAGAAATTCATCTACAAGCTGGAGAGATGGCTCAGAGGTTAAGAGCACTGACTGCTCTTTCAGAGGTCCTGAGTTCAATTCCCAGCAACCACATGGTGGCTCACAACCATCTGTAATGAGATCTGGTGCCCTCTGCTGGCCTGCAGTCATGCTGTATACATAATAAATAAATAAATCTTTAAAGAAAGAAAGAAAGAAAAAGAAATTCATCTACAGTTGGTGCCCATGTGGCAAGAATTCATTAAAAAACTATGTGTGGGCTTACAGGGCCCCTGCCTTGGGCCCAGCTTCACAGTTCAGGCCAGAGCACGTGGCTAGAGTCTCTTTGGCTTTCTTTCTCCTGGTAGATGGTGGGTGCTCCCTCTCTCTCTCTCTCTCTCTCTCTCTCTCTCTCTCTCGATTCCCATCTCAGACTGCCACCACACTAGGCAGCTTCTTTGAAATTCCCTCAGACTTTACTGTTCTACACAGTCGACAGACTTGGTAAGTCAATTAAGATATCATTCTTTTTTTCTTTTTCCAGAGCTGAGGACTGAATTCAGGGCCTTGCGCTTGCTAGGCAAGTGCTCTACCACTGAGCTAAATCCCCAACCCTAATTAAGATATCTTAAAGAGTGAAATTAGTTAAAAGAGAATCTTTTTCCCACATTAAAAAAAATGGGAAGCATTGGCCAGGTGGTGGTGGCGTACACCTTTAGTCCCAGCAGCTGGGAGGCAGAGTCAGGCGGATCTCTATGAGTTCGAGGCCAGCCTGGTCTACAGAGCGAGATCCAGGACAGGCACCAAAACTACACAGAGAAACCCTGTCTCAAAAAACAAAAAAAAGGAAACATTTTTACAAGGGAAGGAATTTGGTCTCTGTTTGATGACACATTAGGAAGTCTGAAAATGCAACAATTAAATAAGAAGATAATTAACATTGATGGGCTGTATGTAACATCAATTATGAATATTATTTGTTTGATCATTTTTATTTTAGCATTAAAAAGGTTGGCCCATTTAGGTGCCAAGATGAAAGCTTTAGAAAAACCTGTTTAAATAAATTACAGAGAAATTCAGACCCAGACAGGAGAATCTAAAGGTGAAATTATTTCAGGATTGAATTTTACAGTTACAAAGAGACAGCCTGTTTTCAAACAACCAAACTTAATCTATCCGGCAACCTTATAGGAACTACCTGCTCTAGGGCATGTATGAGCTAATTTGACTCCAGTGGAAATGTTAGATTTAAAGGAGATTTAAAAAAGCTATAGTATCATATGGCATGCATCCTCCATTTGTAAAGCAGATGTTAAACTCGTGGTCAACTTGTAATAGAATTATCCCTCAGGACTAGAAAGAATAAATTATAGCTATCCTAGAAGCCAGAGCACAATTACAATGAAGAACTTGGTTTAAAGAGGAAGTTAAAAACCATAGAACACCAATGTAGAACTAGAGGTGTGGAAATTTCCCAGGACCAGCTTCTTGGAGAAGGTGATTACACTAGTATACAAAGACAATGTTTATGTGATACCCAAACCTTAATTCTATGCTGCATGGCAGCCATGAATGCATGGGACAGAATTAAGTAAGCAGGAAAGAAAATTGAATCATTTCCAAAAGTTATACAAGGCCCAAAAGAATCCTTCCTTCACTTATAAAGAGAGCTGATTGGATTCTGTCTCACATTGTTTGGGAAACACCCATATCTAGAGCCCGTACATTTTATACAGATGCAAACAAACAAGGAAAGGTAGGCTACAAGTCAGAAAATTTAAGTAAAGTGGTTCAAAGTCCTTATAATTTGGCTCAAAAATCAGAATTGTATGCTACTCTGTTGGTATTAATGGATTTTTCAGAACCTCTCAACATAGTAACTGACTCTCAGTATGCTGAAAGGGTGGTCTTACATATTGAGACTGCAGAATTTATCCCTTATGAGTCAGAATTGACTTTGTTATTTATTCAGTTACAAGACATAATCAGGAATAGGAAGCATCTCTTATACATAACTCACATCCAATCCCATTTGGGTCTTCCAGGCCCTCTAACACAGGTAATGATGAGATTGATAAACTATTGATAGGAAATGTGCTGGAGGCCTCAGAATTTCATAAAAAAAACATCATGTCAATAGTAAAGGTTTAAAAAGAATTTTTCCATAACCTGGCAACAAGCCAAGGAAATTGTGAGGAAATGTCCCACTTGTTCTTTTTTATAATCAGATTCCTTAACCAGTAGGATGTAACCCAAAGGGTACTCAAAGGAATGAAATCTGGCAGATAGATGTGTTTCACTTTGCAGAATTTGGAAAACTGAAATATGTACACCACACCATTGATACTTATTCAGGATTTCAATGGGTGACTGCTCTGAGTTCTGAAAAAGCTGATTCTGTAATCATGTATTTGCTAGAAGTTATGGCCATCATAGGTATACCTGCACAAATCAAAACTGACAATGCTCCATCATATGTCTCTGTTAAAATGAAACAGGCCGGGCGTTGGTGGCGCACGCCTTTAATCCCAGCACTCGGGAGGCAGAGCCAGGCGGATCTCTGTGAGTTCGAGGCCAGCCTGGGCTACCAAGTGAGTTCCAGGAAAGGCGCAAAGCTACACAGAGAAACCCTGTCTCAAAAAACCAAAAAAAACAAAAAAAAACAAAAAAAAAAAAAAAATGAAACAGTTTTTTGCTTATTACAATATAAAGCATATTACAGGTATACCACATAATCCTACAGGTCAAGCAGTTATAGAAAGATCAAACAGAACTCTAAAGGATATGCTAAATAAACAGAAAGGGGTAACAAACCCCCCCAGAAATAGATTACATAATGCTCTATTAACTTTGAATTTTCTCAGTGCTAATGAGAAAGGAACAACAGCTGTGGAGAGACATTGGATAATAGAAAAAACTTCAGGATTAAATCAGCCTATATATTTTAAGGATATGCTGACCTCAGAATGGAAACCAAGATATGTGTTACGCTGAGGATGAGGTTTTGCTTTTGTTTCTATGGGAGAAGAAAAGCTGTGGATACCATCAAAATTGATAAAGGTTTGAGTTGAGCAAGAGAGACCTCTTAATTAGAAGAGGTGATAGTTCATCAACCAACATGACCATCCAATTTAAACTAACTTATACCACTAACACATGCCTTTTCATTTAATCAGATAATAACTTGCCAAAAGGGAACCTCCCCAAAGTTAGGCTTGGGGAAGGGTTTTTTATTTTATCTTTCAGTATAATGAAGGCTAAGAAATCTGAAGAACACTGGACAAATGAGACATCTGAAGAAAAAGGACAAATCATCTAGAAAAAATGTCCCAAGAAAAAGAGTAAATTGGCCTATTGGTATATCACATATAAAATTTCATAAGTCTTCCTAAATGTTTGTTTCTGCTCTTTTCTGCAGACACTTAACACAAATGGTCTTTATGTAGTCCCAGTTCAATTAAAAATTAAAGCTGGCTTTGGAGTTGGAGAATGGCTCTCTCCTTCTTTAAACCCAAGCATGTTTGTTAAAAGGAAAAGGCAAAATCTCTGTATCATGTCAGAAGAGCCATCTGATATGGGACAGAAGAAAAACAAAAATTAAGGGATTATTCCATTGCCACTAATCTCAATTCTTTGGTTCTATTTTGATTCTTCAAATTTTTCTTAAGGTATGAATTTATATCAAAAATTTATAAGATTTATATATATACATTTTAAAACTTTTGTTATGATATTACTGGTCATATAGAATACTAACTAATTCTAGAAAAAAACGCTTCATTTAGCTGCCTATACATGTTTTTGTGTTGGAATGTCTATCAGTTTTCTGCAGGGAATCAATACCAGACCTAACAGTGAATTTGAAATGTCTAGAAAGATGATGGGCCCCACAGTAACGATTCCATGTAGACAATAATAATATCACTAAGCTGACAAACATCACCCAAAGATCAGCTTTAGACTACAAACTGCTCACGACAATTTCGAGATCGCTAGCTGAGATGATCACAGACTATTCTAGCAAAGACTTGAGATAAGCCCTGCACTTTTGCATTATGCATAGACCAGACAACAAATGATACAGCTATCTCTCCCAGGACTAGACAATTAACCCAAAATTTTTCTTTTCAGGATCCCCTAAAGATGCCTCCACCCACAAACAGCAGGAAGCAATTTTAAGAACACAATGCCCACATTCCCAAGAGGTGAGGCAGGTGGTTTATGGCCTTTTAATGGGTTTGGGTTTGGGATAACTGTCATTGTTTAGGATTGTTGGTTACAAGTTGTTATTGTTAACAGTCAGGAAAGAGGCTAAACAAAGGAGATTAGATTTAAGGTTCTTGTTTGAAAAAAAAAAGAAAAAGAAAAGAGAGGATATAGATAAGAGGTAGATTATTGAATCTACTCTGAAAAAAATAGAAATGATAGAATAAAGGGTAGATTATTGAATGTACTTTGAAAAGAAAAAAGAGAGGACATGGACATGATACAGATAAAAAGGTAGATTATTAAATTTACTTTTAAAAGACAACTACTAGTTTTAAATATTTTATATTGGATTGGATTTTTATATACTGTATACAATATGTATATTGATACAAATTTGAGATTGATTTTGTTAGAAAATACTGTACGTATATTT